CTTGTCGGTGCGGGGATACCCATTGGATATCCTGTCGGTGCGGGGATACGTGTTGGATATCCTTGTCGGTGCGGGGATACCCATTGGATATCCTTGTCGGTGCGGGGATACCAATTGGATATCCTTGTCGGTTCAGGGATATCCAAATAACTGGGATAGGGGTGGCAAATTAGAGACAGGTTTCCCTAGGATATTTGAAGTGTTGATTTAAGTTATAGCCAGTGCAAGGTTTGAGACTGTAGGCATAATGACCCCAAATATGCGTATTTCGCGCAAAACGCGAAATAATTTCGCGTTTTGCATATCACATGAAAAACACCTCACGTGTATTACGCGAAATTCACTGCTAAAATGCGTTTTTCGCGAAGTGAAATGTGAAATGTGTTTTTCACTAGTGTTTTTCACATCACGGGTGAAACTCCAATATATTGGAGTTTCACAACCCGTTTTACGTGAAGTGGTGAAAAACGCGATATTCGCGGTGATATGCAGTAGTTGTGAAATATGTTTTCCTCTAGTGTTTTTCATATCACTAGGGTAAAGAAGCTTCAACAAATTTTAAGAGACCATTTTGAGTATATTATTAATAATAGATATTGTAAATTGATAAGCGTAGGATCCTGATGGTAGGTATAAGGCGTATATCCTATACAAGCTACTGCAAAATAAGGAGAATGCAAAGGAGGTAGTAGTAGACTGATAACGAAGATGAAATGAAGGTGTGGTATGGCGTCAGGCTGCTACTATACCAGAAGTGAGAGAATTTATTGAAAATGGAGGAAAATATGTCCCGTACGAAAGCATCAACCCGTTGAAAGCGAAAATGTATAGTAATATCGTACATATTGTCGCAGGCGGAAAAGCGCCGATTCGCGAGCCTGATTTCAGGTTGCGAAACGCATGATACTCTGTTGAAGTGTGCAAGACTTGTTAATCAGGCAGTTAAGGATACTGGAAAGTAGTAGTAGTAGTAGTAGTAGTAGTAGTAGTAGTAGTAGTAGTAGTATTCGCGTAAAACAGGTCGTGAAACTGTTTTGTATAATTTGATATGGCTCTATAGTATAATATTATCGAGAAATTTATGTGATCGCTTTCCGCAGTTGAACAGCAATTCGGGTAGAAGTGAAATAGAGAAAGCAATGAGAATTTCGTCGGATATTTTCATATTATCAGCGAATATGTGCATATTTTTTCCACAGTAGAAAATACTTAAAATTGGATTTCCACTCGTGATGTGAAGAACATATTTTACATTTCACTTGGCGAAAAACGCATGTGAGCAGTGAATAACGCGTAAAACACGTGGGGGAATTTTGTGGGACAGATTTGTTGTCAGGTCAGAATTGATGGTTAAGTTACCACGCAAACAAATACGAGAATCTCCCACTTTAGAACGGAAACTGGACTATCGCACTTTTGAGGTTATCACTTCTGGTAATACAGCGGAGTTAAAATAGGGTAGAAATAGGGTGAAAAAATGGTAAAAATATGGTGAAAATATGGTAAAAATAGGATAAAGATATGGTAAAGATTTGGTAAAAATAGGGTAAAAATATGGTAAAAATATGGTAAAAACATGGTAAAAATATGGTAAAAATATGGCAAAAATATGGTAAAAATATGGTAAAAATATGGTAACAACATGGTAAAAAATATGGTAAAAATAGGGTAGAAATAGGGTAAAAATATGGTAAAAATATGGTTAAAACGTGGTAAACATATGGTAAAAATATGGTAAAAATATGGTAGAAATATGTAAATGCATAATACATCACTACCCCCATAATACACACTTGATAATGCAGTGCGGCGGTCGGCGCAGTAGATTCAACAGAAGCGAAATTGCATTTAATCATTATAGTGCGATAGAATATATACAACCCCCTCACATTGTCTTAGTTGTGCGCGATTCAAAAAGTAAGTTTACTTGTACCGTTATTAGGAGTATGACCTTATAATGGAGTTTTTTCACAACCCGTTTTTCGCGAAGTGAAATGTGAAATGTGTTTTTCACATCACTAGGGTGAAACTCCATTAAAGAATTATATATGTTAACATAATATATAAATATTTTATTGAGTATATACTTATAAATAATATATAGGATAACGTATATATTTTAATATTTTAATACTATTATTGTGTACTATTACTATTATAAATCTACTATTTATCTTTACTAATATAAATCTGTACTATTTATACTGTGTAATATTGTAATAGTTAGTATTACTATTATAATATTGTGCGCTATCCAAAAAGTAAGTTTTACTCTATATTTAACACTCATATTTCGGTACTGGACCCCCAGGCATGTTAGTTATACGATGCTAACGTCTCGTGACTCGATTATCTTCCACCGTTGCGCCCATTTTACAAGGCCGCATAATCTTAGCAAGAATTTGAAGCACCTCGATGTTGTTGGATATGCATAACTACATGTATGCCAGATTGGTCATTTTAGGAACGGCTTCTTATGCGGCGATTAGAACTTTGTTTATGATAAGGAGTTTGAAAATACGCAATTTGGAGATGTTCTTTGGCACTGCGGTGAGTTGTTGTTGTTGTTGTTATTGTTGTTATTGTTGTTGTTGTTGTTGCCATTGTTGTTGTCATTGTTGTTGTTGTATATGTTGTTGTTGTTGTATATGTTGTTGTTGTTGTATATGTTGTTGTTGTTGTTGTTGTTGTTGTTGTTGTTATTGTTGTTGTTGTTGTTGTTGTTGTTGTTGTTGTTGTTGTTGTTGTTGTTGTTGTTGTTGTTGTTGTTGTTGTTGTTGTCATTGTTGTTGTTGTTGTTACTGTCGTTGCTGTTGTTATTGTTGTTATTGTTATTGTTACTGTTGTTATTGTTGTTGTGGTATTATTATTGGAGTTTCACAACCCGTTTTACGTGAAGTGGCGTCGTAATACTCGGTGGAAAACGCGATATTCGCGGTGATATGCAGTAGTCGTGAAATATGTTTTTCATATCACTAGAGTGAAACTCCATTACTATTATTATCATACCATCAATCGCGTAAATCATGTTGTTAGTTACGCGCAATAAGAGGAATATGGATGGCCGAGTTGCTGCACAGGTTGGAAGAACACATAATACAAATGTGAGAATCGGTGGAGTTTCACGACAACCCGTTTAACGTGAAGTGGCGTAAATATGTTTTTCCGCGACCGCCGATAACACAATTGTTTTCCGCCAAGTGAAATATATTTTTCATATCACTAGGGTGAAATTTATTAAATATTTTTGGATTTTATACATATAAAATAATATTATTAAAATTTCACGATGACCCGTTTAACGTGAAGTGGCGTAAATATGTTTTTTCCGCGACCGCCGATAACACAATTGTTTCCCGCAAAGTGAATTGGGAAATATATTTTTCATATCACTAGGGAGAAGGAACTCCAGTGTGTTTGATCTTAAAATTAGGTATTGGTATTATCACGACCCGACAGCGATGCTGGCGACCTCAGCGGTGATGTGCGCTTTTCACTCGGTTGCGTATGCGTGGATTTTCCGAAATAATCCTTTCTGCGTAGTGCCATTTATTTGGCTACGACTGGTTAATGATTCGACAGATGATGGGTATCGATTTTTCTGAGGTGTTTGTGCATGCGTGCTGGACAAGTTTCTGAACTGATGCTGCTGCTGAGTTGTTGAATTGTTGAATTGTTGTTGTTGTTGTTGTATATGTTGTTGTTGTTGTATATGTTGTTGTTGTTGTTGTATATGTTGTTGTTGTTGTTGTTGTTGTTGTTGTTGTTGTTGTTGTTGTTGTATATGTTGTTGTTGTTGTATATGTTGTTGTTGTTGTTGTATATGTTGTTGTTGTTGTTGTTGTATATGTTGTTGTTGTTATTGTTGTCGTTGTTGTTGTATATGTTGTTGTATATGTTGTTGTTGTTGTTGTTGTTGTTATTGTTGTTGTTGTATATGTTGTTGTTGTTGTATATGTTGTTGTTGTTGTTGTTGTTGTTGTTGTTGTTGTTGTATATGTTGTTGTTGTTGTTGTATATGTTGTTGTTGTTGTATATGTTGTTGTTGTTGTTGTTGTTGTTGTTGTTGTTATTGTTGTTGTTGTTGTTGTTGTTGTTGTTGTTGTTGTTGTTGTATATGTTGTTGTTGTTGTATATGTTGTTGTTGTTGTATATGTTGTTGTTGTTGTATATGTTGTTGTTGTTGTTGTATATGTTGTTGTTGTTGTTGTTGTTGTTGTTGTTGTTGTTGCGAAGTCGTTTTTAACCAGAATAAGCGTTGGAAAAAATATAATTAAAAATTAATTTCGCATTTTCTCGAGTGCATAAGATACTGTAGGGTGCTTACTATCATTATCTGTGATTCCAATACGATTT